ATCGGAAGATATGTCAAATTATCAAATCCTATTGTAGAAAAACCTGATGATGGAATACCTACAGTTAATATTATCGTAAAAGGCGATGTTGCCGGTTCTGTAGAAGCTATATTAGATGTTTTTAATACGTATGGAAGCGATGACAAGTGTCGATTGAGCATCGTCCATTACGGCGTTGGACCTATCACAGAAACAGACTTACAAATAGCAGACGCGTTCGGTGGTAATATATCTTCTATGAAGAATCAATCGATATTATCTTCTCTATAAATTTCAACATCACGTGAAATCTTTATAGCCATCATATACCCTTTTAATGTGCCTATAATGAAAGACTTGAAAGAAGAAGCTGATAAAAAGAATATATCGATCCGTCCTTACAATGTGATATATAAACTTATTGACGATATTAAGAAGGAAATAAATACTAAACTACCGCCGCTCGACACTGAAGAAGTGATAGGTACAAGAGAAGCATTAATAATTAGACCGGCTAAATTCGTTGTTATAAATTTGTTTTGATTGTTCGATCTCTCTGTAGGCGAAGCAAATGTATTGCAAGAGTTCGAGATCACAGAGAAGAAAAAAAAGGTAAAAGTCGCGGGCTGTCGGTGTGTCAAAGGCATTCTAAAAAAAGATGCAATGTATCGGTTAATACGCGAACAGGAGACTCTCTATACCGGTAAGAGAAAATATTTGACTAAAAAGAGACAGAGAGCGAGGAAAAGAGGGAAGAAAAAAGGAAGAGATGAAATGATACTTATCTTTTAGGGAAATTGGTGTCGATGAGACATATGAAAACTGAAACAGAAACCATCAAGATTAATGTAGAATGCGGTTTGAGATTAGAAGATTTCACATTGTCTTTCAAACCGGGGGACGTTCTAGTTTGTTATCAGATAGGCCAGAAATCGCAAGAAACCGATTGGGATCCTGGATTTTAAACAATCCTAAAAATCGTAAGGTTAAATCAGATAAAACGTGTTCAAAGATTCCTCCAGTCATCGTCTTGCTTATACATTATAAGAATAATAGAGATATTCTTGAATTAAGTACAAATTTTTTTTTTATTATTGCCTGAGAGAATCGCAATCTTTTCTTTCACATTTTTTTTTTACATCTTTTACATATACAGTCTATCGTAATTTCGCTTTGGGGGAGATACCAAATTCTTGAATGCTATTGTGAAATTAAGACAGATAAACTATATTATGTTCAAATTTGTCAGAACTGAAAGTATCAATCTTGCTCTGCGTTAAGTGGAATGAACATGCGCGTTCTTTAAATATTTTTTTTTACAATATGCATCAAACGATATGCAACAAGACAGCGATATGCACATAGTCGGATTTTAAAAGATAGTCTGCGATAATCTTAATTTCACCTTCCGTAAAATTAGGTATCTTCAGAATCGCCGCGAAGTTCCATCTTTGCTCTAACCCCACGAGCCTTGTGAAAATTTAATTTTCGATTTTAGGTTGGCAATATAGATCACCTTAACGGAATATCCCGGGAATCACGTGGAGTATATTAAGACGCATAAGTTTCGCGAAATCGTCGTTGAAGATGTTGATACGCCGAGAGGACGCTACGTTTCTTCTTTTGAAGGCGGCAAGGGATCGTTTCCTGGTTGGCTATGGTGATGTTTGTCTCTAACGGTTCGATGGAAACATCGTCGTTTGGGTGTACAAAGAAGGCGATGGAATGGCGACCGCGACCGCAATGTTCCGGTATAACGACGCGATGTCTAAGCGCTGGAAGTTGCTCATTAGTCCAATGCGCCAGTAGTTCGCCAGTGTTCACTAATATGGCGCCTGGGAGATGGCCCACTCTAGCCCATCGTTCCCCATGTGGAGTTTGTATTTCAAGGCCTCCTTCACAATCCTTGAAAAATATTTTATTGTTATGAATAAATTATTGGACGTAATCAATGATATTAATTAGCAATCTGTATATATATGTGTATGCTGTACATAATATAACATTATTACTTTAATATTGACTTGACATTTGATATTTCTATGTCGTAGTCTTTATAACATATACTGCATATGAATCACGCGTGCAAATATATCTTTACTTTAATGTTTACTAATTATTCATTATCTTTTAACACGCATGTGTCTGATATGCCTTTTCCTCTTTTAAATATTTTCATATTATAGTGATGTAGAGCTGCTTATCACAAAATGATTGTGCGTATTGTACGAACGAACATGCCGAGATATCTCATCAGTTTTGACGAAATTATAAAGATACGTAGAATTTATGACACTTTTTAAACATGAAGAGCCGTGTGTAAAGCATATGTATTTTCTAGAATATGATTTACGGTCGTGTAATCGTCTCTCTTTAACGACGAAAACGGCTATATTAGGTATCGAGCTTCAAGTGTGTATAATGTATTGCTGCAATCTGCATACTTGCGCCAACAAAGTGAAAGTGCCATAGTCGCAATGAGCGCCACATCGGGTCAGTCCTTGTACCGGTGCACCGAGTGGTGGATAGTAAAGGAGACGTAGGGTGGACTCGTTGCCAGGACCAAGCATATGTGCGTGCTTGGACGGAAGGAAGTCGGGGGACTGTTCCAAGCCCACAGACAGAGCCTGCAACATGAACGGGATTTTTCAATTTCATTTTATTGGTTTCTCTGTACAGATTAGATTTTATTATCGACTCGTGAGTCATTAAATCGTTGAGAATTACAATGTACTTCCGTTCAAAGGTCAAGAGCACGGAACCGTTTTTTGCCGAGCGCGAAAAAATGCATAGAATGATAACGATAAAGTAGACAAGTATTTCCAGGGAAAGATAAAATAATAGGTAGAGTCTAAGAATATCATAATGAGGAGAGATATTCACGGAAAAAAAAAACTAATTAAGTACGTCCGGAAATATATAGAATACATAACGAAATGTAACAAGTCAAGAATTATTACAGTGAGAAGCATAGAGGCCAATTGCTTGAAATCGCGTGCCAATTCCTCTACCGCTGATCTAAATCCATGAACCTCATCCTCTGGCAGGGTTCCTTCATATCCGGTTACGTTGAATGTATGGCGAAATTCCACCTCATCTGAAAATCTAATCAAAACAAATAATTAGATTAAACTACAAAAACGAACATATATGTGTAAAACTTATACTTGTGTGGAAAAAAAGAAAAATTAAAATGCAAATATGTATTCACATTTATATGCAATCTCTCTATCTTGCTTTTTGGAATAACATTACATATATATCATAATTCTATTTTCTATTATTCCTACATTAGATAATTTATATTTTAGCAGCGTGCAACTACTATGCGTATAATTATTCAACATTTTTAGGGTTTTTATTATGGATTAAATTCAAATGATATACACTGCTTCTTGTACTACCGCTGGATTACAAATCGCAGTCGGTTAATAGAACGTTCATCAAACTGAATTATAGTGAATTACGAGAATAATTTGAAAATACGATCTCTCAACTTACTTCTCCTTGCCTGGTTTAATGTAGCCGTGATTATTCGGCGAAACGCGTTCGTATTTTGCTCGCGTTTCGTCTGGTAGCTCACAAAATGTATCTAGAGCTCTGTAAGCTGCCTTCATCTGTAAATATGGAACATGCAATTTTAACGAAGCCTTAGCGAAGCGAGTAACAATATATGAAGTTTTTTTCGTCTACTGTTGAAAACGCAACGCAAAAATGGATATTTACGTAATGATAAGAAAATTGGCCTTCAATAAAAATTATGATTCCCAGAGAGAATGGAAATTCGCGTATTTCATATATCTCGACATCCATAATCGCACTTTTTATATTTCGGATTATACTCTTTCGGGTAATGTGTAACATAAAAGTATTGTAAATATACATCCAAATCCGGTTCGGATAATAAACGCTCGATAATAAACAATTTTGCGAATGGCGAATCAAATATTATATATATTGCCTAATAAATTTCGCTCGTCGACCAATGGAGGATAAACCGCAAAAAAAAAACATTGCGTTGAAGAAACAGCTTCGTAAAAAAAATATATCGCACAAGTCTCAATTTGCCATATGTTTCTCCGTCGTCACAATTGTACAAACATTTAGTATGAAATAATTGGCAGAAAACAATATCTGTAAGCAGTTATACGTTTTTTAACTTTTTCCACGCGAATAATTTTATTTTTAATTTGTATTCAACAGTTTAAAGTTAAATTGCTTGAATATAATCGCGAATCAATACTCTCTCAATGCAAATTTTATTGAATTTTTCTTTCTCTTTTTTAATTGCGTGTTCACAATTTTTTTAAATACACGTGTATTTATTTATATTATATACACATTGCAGATAAAGTTCTGTATTGCAAAAACATTATAAGACGATACATTCACGGATATTCGCATAGCTTCTAATCCCTCGAATTATAAGGTAATATTGTGAAAGGAGTATCTGACATAAGAGGACAATGATTCACACGTTGATGTGTGGGTCAGATGTCACATGTGACGCCGCGACAGTTTTCTTAGTCATAAACATATCTTTACAAAGATGATCGAGTACACGCGATGTGTATTCTAGCATTAACAATGCTGTAATATTGCATGCTTCCGTTATGTAATGTTAGAAAAAAAACCGTCGCGAAGGAAAAAACCGAGATGATCGCTCTTCTAATTCCGCGAAATAATCGTATCGTTGCATGCGCGAGCGACGCACATGTCATGTGTATGTATGTGTGTGTGTGTGTGTGTGTATTGCTTATCCGCCAGCTAGTTCAATGCTGGAAATGGAAACTAATGCAGAACAAAGTATATCATTGTCATATAGCAGGCACAACTTTATTATAGCATTTTCCACCGCATATTATTGTACAAGCTGCTATTGGAAGGCTCTTAACAATTTATCGTTTTTATTGCAAATTATACCGACAATTTTCGATAAAAATTATAAAACATGTGCGATGAATCGTGTGATCTTTTGGAAATTTTTTTCGTAGATCTCAAAGCTCAAGAACATTACGGTATTGTCAGAAAAATATCGAGTCAAGATATGTCAAAATTAAGCAAGGTAAAAACCAAATTAATTTCTTTATCAACTAAAATTAAGTCTTTAATTTTTTTACACATTAAAAAAAGTATTGAAAATCTCACACACTATATAATTTAAGCGCAATTGATTGATAAAAATTAAAACTCTAAATTAATCGACGAATACAAGGTATACATATGTTAAATTTAATGATCTCAGAATCGTCATCATGTACATTTACTTTGCGATAAACGATTATTCACGTTTTAATGAACCTTATGCTTTACACTAATTAATACTCAAAGATTGAATTAAGATCTCATACAGCTTCACATTGATAACTTTCGTGTTAGTATCCTCAAAAACAAAAAAATTGTTTTATTTTCAGTCCACTGTACGTATCTGCGCGTTTCGTACATACACATGTCTTCCGATGCAGGTGCAAATAATAATATTATATCGACACGTAGTTCGGTTACTCATCGAAACGTACATACATTCCCGTTTATGTAAATCCGTAAGTCACAAGTCGGATTATTACGCGAAACTGCAACACACTGCATCATGGTATCGCCCGCAAGTTTCCGATAGCGAGCATACAAATGACAAGGTCATCGCGCGCAAAACGTATATATAGTATTTATCGCGGGCCCTTGAAAAAAAAAAGAACTCAACTATTCTCTGATTGTGCTCAAGATATTGAAGCGTGTTCGATAACAAGAAAGAGAGAAAACGATTATCAGCGTAAGATTTTACAAAAGAGTATCTTATTTAAAGAAACTTTATATATAGTGCCATTTAAAGAAGAAAATTATTAATAATTGATATTGAATTCTACGAAATTATTAATGGCTCTCTGCGACTAGCACATATTCTCTCTTACGACAAAAATAATATTGCGTACAGATAATTTCAAACTTAATATCCCGCGTTTATTATTTCTTATCACCCTTTAGTTATCTTTACTTACTTTTGTAGATTCCAATTAAGATAAAAGTCTAAAAATTAGAATTAAAGTGTACAATTACGTAATTTTTAATATGACAAAAATTTCTTCGTCCTCTAAAAGGATCTTAATAAACATTTCGTATCCTCAAATGCATCTGCACAAGATGATTCTTTAATTTTTTAGCCGCAGTTTCTTTATAATTGCATTTATTTTAACGTCGTAAAGACGTCGTGAGTTTAATCGACCAACTTTCAATCGGTATGTCGAATTATTCGTCACGACATTAAGTTGCGACAGCGCGTGATATCGACCACATTTGTGCAAGCAATGAAAATCGGCAAGACCCGGCAATACCGGCGCCTGATCAATCAAAGGAAGCCTCGCGATTTAATCATTTCTGCGCGCAAGGGAGCCTCTCCCTCGTTCTCGTCATACCTTGCACTCTGGAATGCCGTGGTTGACAAGCAAGGCCAGTCCTTTCTCGGACAGCGCCCTTAGCAGTTTCGAGGCCACCTGCTTTACAACTCCCTTCTGGGGGCATCTCTCCGTGCCTGTAATCGTAAGAAAACGCCTACAGTAAATATAGTACGGAGAGAAAGAGAGAGAGACAAAATAAGGAATACGCAGGAAGAAGCTATTACTTTTATATATTTGCCGTTTATTTTTTAAAAAAGATTGATTATATTGACATGAATTTTTGAAAATTCCTAGCGCAAATTTTATTATAATCAAATTATATTAATATAAAGTAGACATCACGTTTGAACAGCTCGATTTCTATTCTTTATTTACTTTGCGCTGAAGATGGTTAAAAAAAAAGAACCAAAACGTGCTTTTTATTATTAAGTCTATCGCTATTTTATGTTAATATGATTTGATTATAATAAATTATCGCGCTGGCTCTTAATTGCCTTCCCTCACCTTTGTTTGATACATTCGTAAGAATTTATCGTTTTATTTTAATTTTATAATGTTTTGAGAACGAATCTCAGTGTAATCCATTAGCTTGATATTTTCTAATAACAAGAAATTGTTGATGACAGGATGATGTCAACTCTTGTTTGTTGTAGATGCAAGATCATCAACCTTGATAAATTTATCAGTTTAATACATCGTTGTATGTAAATGCTAACAAGGCTCATGTTTCGTGGAAGATTACAACTAAATGCGCTGATTATGTCTATTTGCAGATTAAGGAAGCGTTGGGATATTTAGTATTAAATTTCTCGAGTTTTCCTCTCTCTCTCTCTCTCTCTCTCTCTCTCTCTCTCTCTCTCACGCTCAGGATGTCGGCTGCACTGATGATCGATTATGCCTTTCGCTCAATGAGCGTTCATTGACGTTGAGAGACCGAGATATCGCGATAATGAAATAAAAAACAAAACCGGCAGATAGGCTCATCTTTCTGTCATATTTATAAATGATATTCGCACATTATATACACGCATACATATATGGAATTGTAGCTATAACTCATGATTATAATTATACCGTAATTTCTTATTTTTTTACTCTTTATAAATAATAAAATAAAATAAAAAATGTGACTGTAATCGCACTCGCACTCCCGTTATAATACATATAAATAAACGCTAAAAAGTGTTCTCTCATTTAATATGTTTACATATAGTTATCATTATATATCGAAATAGAAGATATTGATTATTTTTCGCGTATGTATTCACGAGAAGCACTTTCAATTTACTATACGTTAATCAAAAGTAAATAAAAATGCACGCGCAGAAAATAACGTCCAATCACTGTGTCGTGATGTTACATTATCGTTTTAGGTAAACGAAAATCAGAAATGGCATGTTAGTGACATACAAGCCTTGGAATCATAACGCGAGGTCATGATTCCTCGAGAAAGCCATCGTCCCCCAGCCTCTCGTGTCGTAACGAGATCCGTCCATGAGCGATG